TTTGCCGCAAACACAATTTTGATTGTGTCAACAATGGGATTTTTTTGGTGTGCTCCAAGCACCTCAGTACGAAGTTATTAATGCAAATATGTTGCATACCTTTCCTTTATGCTGTTTGAAGCCCAATTTGAGGCCCAGCAAAATTTCATCTTCCACTGGACACGCCATTGCTTGAGCGGCCTGAGTTCGGGCTTTTTCCCTGTCGGAGGAGCAGTTATTTACACCCCGCATATGGGCCGCGTGAACACTTATATATGTTCTAATTATGAATATATGCCCTAGGTGCGATTCCCGACGGCTCCGGTGGCCGAGTTCCAGCTTCAAAGCTTGATTTGGAGAGGTGGCCAACTACCCTGGTATTTGGCCAAGTTGAACCGCCGTCCGAAAGTAATTCACTGCCAGAACAAATCTTCATATACTTGGGTGGGAGTAGGCTTAAACTCTTCTTAAGATGCCTGGCTCTCATCTGACGTTGTATTGCCCATTTGGAACGACGCCACAGGCTGATACTAAGGCATGAATGCTTAGGTGGCCAAGTACGGGGTCAAAAATAGTATGTGCTTGCAGAAATCAATCAAGGGGAAGGACAGGCTGTCACAGGTGTATGCTTCGATGTCGACCAAATAACACTGGGTGAGATCCGACTAAACACACAAGAGACTGATCCGCCTTCGACCTTCTCGACCGCCTCTTCCATAATAGAAAGGGCGCGGGATTCGACCTCAATGCGGTGTTTAACCTCGAGGTCCGGTCCCTCGAATCCAAACTCCTGGCGGCGGTGCTTTCCGATGAAGTAAGGAATCGCTTTGTTAATGAGGACGTGGAGGAGGTGATCTACGCGACGGTTGTGCTTGCCCTCGAGGAATTTTCCCTTCAGAAGATGATGCCACCTGCCGCCAATTATTAGCTCAATGTGCACACCATTTTGAATAAAGCTGCTTACGATTCCACAAGCATGTTAGTGTCACCGAGCTCAAAAACACTGCGGTTGCGGCGGAATCTTGCGGACCACATCTGTATGTCACGCTCGTCGAGCCAATTCGCCTCGAGGTATACAATAACACTTTGGGGGGCAATATCCTTGATCTCGGCCTAGCGAGCATTGAACTCCGCGTCGTCCGTTATACGAATCCAGCCCTTGAGAAGCGTCCAAAGCTCTGGGTAATGGATTATCGAGAACCGTTGCTGCCATGCGTGAAGAACGTGCCACCAACACAGTAATACGTGTGATTCCCAGTAGCGTCGAATTATAGCATTTATTTGGGCCCAGTCTTTGTCCGACATGAATTTCAGCGGCTTCACGTTCGGGTGGGCCTTCCGAAGGAGTGAAAGGAAGTAGTCAATTGTGACTTCTGTCCCATTCGACGCGATCATCCAGGCGGCAGGCATCCCTATCCATGGGATAATTATTAGGTGCGACGTGAATTAATTAAGATTGACGTACCATGACGCCACTTGTCGCGCACCATGACCGTGAAGAGGCTCATGCCTTGGTAATGAGTGGTATTGTGTGTGGCGTCAAGGCCAGCAAATTTCCCGCCCCATTTCGTCCAACATTCGCGCTGGTACTTGGTTTGTACACAGAGAGCAAAGGTATCGGTGGCGAGAGAAGATCGAGACGGCAGGGCATCATTGCTAGCTTTAAATCCGAACGGTTCACCGCGCTTTCGAAGATTATCCACCCATTCCTTCGTTGACTGACCATCTTGAGAATCGAGCCGAATTGTTTCGGCCTCAATATCTTTCTGTAGAGATCTCGTGAGTATTGGTCTTAAGCTTGAGTGGCACATTCACATACCTCAATTTGACAGACATCTGCCGCTGTTATAAATTCGTTACGTCCGGAAGGTCTACTTCTGAGCTCGTCGAGGTTATCCTCCGTATGGACATTTCCCCGGACTTCCTGAAGCACCCGAGCGCACTCCACCCCCATCCGCAATAACTCGGCCATGTGTACCCTTGTTTCGACGGGGATGCGGGTGAACCGAGTATTAGCATTGCCAGTGGGGTGTCAATGCTCGTGGGTGTAGCGCCCGAGGGCCTTCTGCATCCCGGGGTACGTCTTCACCGTTAAATGGCATTGACATCCCGTCAGGATCCGTTTAGTGGGACCTCCCGGCCCCGCGCTGTTTTCTTCGTGTATTTCAAAATGGAGCGCGACCCCTGGCGGCTGCAGACGTAAATGTGCTTCGATGACCATGTAGTCGCATTCTTGGTGCGATTCTTTCGATACTCTTTACGGTGAAGCTCAATTGTCTTGTTCTTTTCCTCGTCCCGGACCCACTGCTGCATTTCTGCCACAGATGCCCATGTCATAGTGTATTTCCCCAATGCAAGGTCGTAATGGTATGATCCAGGAGTGAATCGAACCGGCTGTACATCGACACCAAATGTATTGAAGGTAAAAGTGTATTCTTCCGGTGGCAGGACTGGATTGTCGGGTGGCCGGGAGTCGGGGAAGGCCCGGAAGGGGGTGGGTAGCACGAATGGTGAGCTCTGAGATGAGGCGGAAGATGTGGACTGTACGCTGGCGAATAGCTCAGAGGAAGAAGGGGAGGAAAATTGTGCCGGGGGCGCGTCAATCTTGAATTTGAACAACATAGGGGCAGCCAAGAGGCAGATGGTTTAGAGAGGGTTTGGGGCAAGAATGCATCGCCAATTTGGTCTCGTGAGCGGGTTTTTTCGATCCACTGTGACAGACGCGTCGAAAATAACCCTTTGCATTGTTATTCACGACGGGCAAAACAAGTTTTCGGTGGACGCGATTATCACGTGCCTGCCGTATTGAGAAAGTGATCGTGGGGACCATTCTCAAAAGCTCAGATGCTTCGCTATACCTCAATAAAGAAGAGGACTCAGAGGAACGACATGACGGATCGATAGCGCGGCGCGCATATGCATCCGGTTATGGTTTGGAAATTGTGTGAACACAGAAAAACGCCTGTTCGTCAGCGATGGTTTGTCTATTTTTCTCTGACCTGCAATTGAAAATCCCTGAAAATTCCTAGCTAGGTGTGTAATACTAAAATGAGGAGCAAGGATCGGTAGCGTGCGACGCGTATCCACCTGCCCTAGCGCTTTTTACGTTTGAGAGCAGACTTCGCCTGTTCGAATCAGGCCCGAGCCATCGTCCACTGAAGATAACAGGCTCAGCTGAACTCAGGAGAGCACGAAAAGAATAGGTAGCACGCGGCGCACATCTGCACTTAGTAGGTGACTCTGTGAGCAGACTTCGCCAGGCCCGAGCCATTAGAGGTCAGCAACTTTTTTTGCCTCGCTTGTACCTAGGAATCTTAGGATGAACCAAGACTGAAGGTGAAGTAATCGTAGCAGACCGTGAACCTCTTGCAGAGTCTTTGGACATGCTTTTGTGACACTTCCGGATCGACTCGGAAATCATTAAAAATCTAAAACTCTCGAGTGGCATAAAGCTGCGCAGTACATATGTGAACGCAGACTACGCCGGTTCAAATCAGGCCCGAGCCATAGTCTGTTTGTGCCCGATCTTTTCTTCGGTCCAGCGAACTAAAAACTCTCGAGGAAGATGCACTTGCTAGGTTGAGTTGGAAGGCTCGGTAGGGCGCGGGGCGCATCAGTGCATGTGTTTTGAAGCAGACCGCGCCTAGACCTGAGCCACTGAGTATTGCTGACGCTTTTCCCCCACTCGCGCCTGGAAATCCTTCAATAAGATGGCAGACGCACCAGTAGGTACAAAGCTCGGTAGCGCGTGGCGCGCATCTGCATCCGTCGCAGCGCTGGAAGTAGTTCGAATGCAGAGAATGCCTGTTCGACGAACCATTGGAGGTATCCAAGGACATTTTCCAGACGGCGCCTGTTTGACTCAAACCCGAGGCTTCTATTCGTATCCCCCACAGTCCACAACTGAAATCCTTGGAGAGAATAAAGAGGAGGGACGAGGAGGATGAGGAAGGCTTGGTAGCGCGCGGCGCGCATCTGAATCCGTGGGACTGAGAGAAAAAATTACCGCCAGAGGTTGGTGGGATATGGCTCGGGCCTGAGTCGAACAGGCGGGGTCTGCTGGCACTGACAAGAATATTGAGTGGATGCAGATGCGCGCCACGCGCTACCGAGCCTTTCCTTGCTCTCATGCTTGCACTCCCCTTATCCTCACGGATTTCATTCAATTCATGGACTGAGAAAAAAAAGAGGCGAGAGCAAGATGACATGGCTCGGGCCTGATTCGAACAGGCACTCTGCTTTTGGACAATTTCAGCGGGTAACTGGATGCAGATGCGCGCCGCGCGCTACCGAGCCTTCCCTCTTATGCTTGCGCCCCGCATATCTCTGAGGATTTGAATCCGTGGGACTGAGAGAAAAAATTACCGCCAGAGGTTGGTGGGATATGGCTCGGGCCTGAGTCGAACAGGCATGCTCTGCTGGCGAATCATCGCTTAACCACTAAATGCATGCAAATCCTCAGAGATATGCGGGGCGCAAGCATAAGAGGGAAGGCTCGGTAGCGTGCGGCGCGCATCTGCATCCAGTTACCCGCAGAACTTGTCCAAAAGCAGAGAGTGCCTGTTCGAATCAGGCCCGAGCCATGCCATCCTACTCTCACCTCTTTTTTCTCAGACCATGAATTGAATGAAATCCTTGGGATAGGAAGGCTGAAAGGAAGACTCGGTAGCGCGCGGCACGCATCTGCATCCAGTGACCGGCAAGCTTAAGCTGCAAAGTTGCAAGCAGACCCTCGAATCAGGCCCAAGCCATGGCTCCTCGGCTCTCATCTTTTTCTTTTTCGTGCCGTGAACAGAATGAAATCTTCAAGGATAGCCTGGGTGCAAGGATGAGAGGGAAGGCTCGGTAGCGCGCGGCGCGCATCTGCATGCATTTAGTGGTTAAGCGATGATTCGCCAGCAGAGCATGCCTGTTCGACTCAGGCCCGAGCCATATCCCACCAACCTCTGGCGGTAATTTTTTCTCTCAGTCCCACGGATTCAAATCCTCAGAGATATGCGGGGCGCAAGCATAAGAGGGAAGGCTCGGTAGCGCGCGGCGCGCATCTGCATCCAGTTACCCGCTGAAATTGTCCAAAAGCAGAGTGCCTGTTCGAATCAGGCCCGAGCCATGTCATCTTGCTCTCGCCTCTTTTTTTTCTCAGTCCATGAATTGAATGAAATCCGTGAGGATAAGGGGAGTGCAAGCATGAGAGCAAGGAAAGGCTCGGTAGCGCGTGGCGCGCATCTGCATCCACTCAATATTCTTGTCAGTGCCAGCAGACCCCGCCTGTTCGACTCAGGCCCGAGCCATGGCTCCTCGGCTCTCATCTTTTTATTTTTCGTCCCGTGAACAGAATGAAATCTTAAAGGATAGGCTGGGTGCAAGTATGAGAGGGAAGGCTCGGTAGCGCGTGGCGCGCATCTGCATTCACTCAATATTCCTGTCAGTGCCAGCAGACCCCGCCTGTTCGACTCAGGCCCGAGCCATGGCTCCTCGGCACTCATCTTTTTATTTTTCGTCCCGTGAATAGAATGAAATCCGTGAGGATAAGGGGGGTTCAAGTATGAGAGGGAAGGCTCGGTAGCGCTTGGCGCGCATCTACCTCCCATCGTAATCAATCTCCGTACCTTTGAGAGTAGAGTTCGCCTGTTCGACTCGGGCCCGAGCCATGGGTCCCCTTCAATCAATCTCTTTTTTCGCCTACCTACCTTTCAGGCTCTCCGATCCGTCGTTAAATCCCCAACGCACTCCGCATGCGAAGCCTCACACTCAGCCTGATCTACTGGTAATGGAATCCAAAAAAGAGTTAACAAGCGAGTATGGTAGTACAAGACAAGCAACGAGCGTAGCGATTAATATGATCTCCCCTCTTCCACCCTCCCGTCTCCATTCTGTTCTCTGCATCGCACAGCGCGGCGCAGACAGACAGCATCGTCCCAAATCTCCCGTCTGGCTATGTGGGCGAAATGACGCCTGTCTCGTGGCGTCCGTGCCCGAGTCGAATCACGGCTCCAGCTCGCCCTCCACCTCTTCCCTCCCCTCCCTCTTCGCTGGCACAACCCCATTCACAGGCCGCTCAACCTCCTCCCAATCCTCCAGCCCCTCCCTCCCTCCCCCGTCTCCGCCCGTCAACCCCTCCTCCCTCCCCTCCTTGTTCCTCGATGCGAAGATGCGAATTCGAAGGAGCACGACCGAGCGGGTAAGGAAGAAGACGACGACGTCGCCCACCGCGATGCCGATTATGTAGGCCGCGAGGCGCGCGTGCTGGGTTGCGGGGTTGAGGAAGGGGTAGGCTGTGGGTGCGCGGTGGTCAGTATGGACGGAAGGACGGAAGAGCAAAAGCGGGAAGGCGCGGAGGCAAGGGCGAGAGCGCAACGCCGCGCGAGGGCGGAGTGCAAGAAGGACGGGGCGCCGCGCCGAGCAAAGAGCGGGACGTAGGACGCAAATAGCTAGCTCGCGGCGCACGGAGCACCGAAATGTCCGAGGTGCCACAAGATTCAAGGTACCGCCGCGCGGGCGGCGCTTGCATCCGACTCCCACCGGCGTCGCAGGCCGCCCACTCGCAGAGCCGCCGCCGCAGAGAAAGGGAAGGGAAGGTCAGAGGAAAGAGGCCGGTAAGAACACAGACCCGCCCCGGAAAAGAAAAGCGGAATGAAAGAGATTTGGACGCACGGTAAAACCCCTGGCTGGCCTTCGTGATATACGCCACGCCCAAATAACCCACGAGCAGGAGGATCTGGACGGGGAGTGCGAGGAGGGGCGCGGGCGGGGCGTTGGTGAGGAGGAGCTCGAGCAGCGCGAAGGCGCTGTTGAGCGCGTGGAGGGAGGTGTTGGACCACGCTAGAGGTGGCGTGAGTATATGGGCGTGGAGTATCAGCATAAGGAAAGCGAGCGAGCATAAGGGCGTGGTCGAGCGAGCAGGAGGGAGAGCACGGAGGAGGGAGTGGAGGCATATGGGGGAGGAATATGAGGGAGGAGAAGGCCGCAGAACGGATGGATGAGAATACGGAGGAGTAGGTGGGTGACACGGAGGTCGCACAAACAAAGAAGGGGGGAGGCCCGAAACAATTTAGGGAGAGGCGGACGCACCGGAAAAAGTCGTAGAGAAGGTATCGGGCGAGGAGAGCAGCGCCCAGAACACCACCGTTACGATGAACGCTGCGCCCTATCTTAGCACACTCGCGAAAGAAAAAACGACACGGCAGACGCACGAAACACCACGACAGTCGACTGCAGCAGCACATGCGCCGCCTGCAACCCCCTCCCCCACCCCCGCAACCAATACCCCGTCCGCCCCCATCGTGCGTACCCCGCGGTCTGCACGCCCGCGGCGACGAGGTATGCGGCGAGCCCGATGTAGGAGAGCTGCGTGAAGTAACTGAAGAACGACGCCCCGGAGCCGGCGGCGGTGTCGAGGGCGAGGGCGGTGCAGAGGGTGCAGAGCGCGTAGAGCGCGAGGAGGAGGCGTGCGGCTGCGAGTGCGGAGGGGGAGAGGAGGGGCGAGGAGACGAAGGCGTGGCCCGGGTCGAAGGTCGGTGAGGCGACGCCCGCGCGGGCCCAGGAGAGCAGCGCCATTCGCGGCGTCTACTTCTACGCTCTACGCAGTCGGCGGCGAGGTGCGCTGGAAAGGGGATGCGGGCAAAGAAAAGAGGAAAAGAGCGGGGTGAGAGGACGACGGATTGGGTGGTGGGCTGATCTGATGTGATTCGAATCAACGCCTGTCTTCGATCACAGATTTGCTTCCTTCCCACAGAATAGGGGTTCTTCGACTTCCACGTCTGTTTCGGGGGGCGTGCCTGGCGTAGATGCATACCCTATCTCGTGCGCGGCAAGAGCGGCGGGTTGTTTGCCTCAGAATTTTTTTGCGAGTGGCGAGTGCGAAGGCGGCGGCCGGAAAAAGCGCGCGCAGATGCGCCGGTTGGAAAGTGATGGTTACGGTATCAATTACTTAGTCTCAGCATGACAGGGCTCCCAAATTGGGATGTCAGGTATCAATGTCCGGCGTCCGCGACCTTCTCCAACTGATTGGCATTGGCAGGTCCGGGTGGGTCCCAGTGTCATTGTGGGCGCCTCCATCGCTCAACATTCGACGTTCGACGTCCATGTCACTCGCACAGACAAGGAAGCGTGCGTGGTTGGCCATCGCGTCAATTTTATTTTTGTCCGCGGTGTATTTTAAACTACTTGGCCAATAAATTATAATCTGCGGGACTTCCCTGAGGGTCCGTCCCACTGTCCACGGCGTCAGTCAAGGTACCACTTCGCTGGAAGTGCACGAAAGAAATACAACCCGCAAAAAAAATCGTCCTTCATAATAAAGGCGTAGGCCCGAGTCGAACGAGCACCTTCTGCTAACCATATCACTCTTCTGGGATACGAAATGCAGACGCGCACCGCGCGCCACCACGCCTTCCTCTACGGTATATACACCTCAATATCCAAGTCAAATCTTGGCGCATACCTTGCGAAATTCTCAAAAGAAGTCCCATATCTATTTTCGCATGGGGTGGGCTCGAGTCGAACGAGCACCCTCTGCTCAACCGGTCGCGAGATTTCCTGACAAACTCAGCAGTCTTCGAGCTGGAATATCAGTTCTGCTTAATACCTTGATAGGCCCAGCCAACCAACACAATACTATCAAAGGACTCCGTTAACGGTCGGCCATGTCTTCTTTTCCTCTCCAAATATTATAAACATATTATCATTTGCCCAAGTGGCTGGCATCGGCCCGCCAACGGGAGGAGTGGGGGCGAGGAGAATTTAAATTTCGCAGCGCACGCCCGCGACTCGAGGAGAAAGGTATAGCGCATCAACTCCCGACTTGCCAGGTTTAGCAGGCGGCGGTTTCTCGTCCACCACGGCTGTATGCGGTACCGGCATGAAATATTTTACCCTCCGCGGTCAGCGCTCAAGTCCTCGGAACCCTTCTACACCGAAATTCGACTGCGCTGTAGCACTCTATCAACAAAATTCCTGCAGGAGTACTTCGGGTGGAGGTAGAATATCAGTTTCGGCGAACGGCAACACCCAGTCCGTTCTAACCCTGTTAGTCCAATTCACCCTCAGCACTTCGACCTTACGCTCAGGTTCTCAAGTTGATTCAAACTACAGACAACCCTGTCGCACTCGTGAAGGTTGTGCGGTGAATACATGCCAAAAATCGTCGATTCCGTTTATTTCTCAGCCCTACCACTGAAATGGAGAATCCGTCTCATTTGAAACCGCCCGCAAGCCATCCGTTCACCGCGTGCCAGCCATATACTCTCGAGGAAGCAGGGGTCGCATGGATGCTCCCCCACGGGTTTTTGGCGGGCCCGAGGCCGGACTGCAAAGTGGCACCGGCAGCGCGGAGCTGCGCTGCGTCGGCCTCCGCCTCCTCGCGGTTGTACGACTACGACGGCTAGTTGTCAATGGCGCCTCGCGTGCATTTCAACGACGCACGGTGAACAAGGCGGGTATCTTCCGTCCGACGAGAAGTCGGAGCGTTGCAGGCCAGGGGTACATCTCTACCTGGTGCGCCCCAGAGTTGAAGGCAATACAGAGGTCGGGCTTCTTGAATTTGCTGCCCCTCGTTTGGACGAATTCGTGGTACGTACTGGGCACAATTGAGCGACGACTTCAATCGGAAATTGCAGCAACAAAGGACTCACCACGCAGAGTACTCGTGGATGTGCTTACGACCGAGCCTTTTGCATTCGCTGAAATGCAATTGAGTAGAGCCCCGGCAAGATAAAGCGGCACACACGCGCAAATTTCGCATTCGAAGGCGTTGCGGCTTCCGGGCATTGCTTGACCGCAAAATACCAACTGAAGTAACCCAAGTTAATAGCCTTGCGGATAATAAACCTTCATACCTTCAAGGTGTTTACTTCGGGGAGGCGATGAAGTATTTCTTCGAAGACTTTGCCGGGGGTGGCTTCGGGCGTGGTGGCTCCTATGATCTGTTACGACTCAAAATGGGAAGTAACACATTTGGAAACGGGAAAGCAAACTGACGTGAATGGTAAGCGTATGTTTGCGGGTCCACCCGGCGTCGTCATTCATCTTCTCAAGCCCATATAGTATCGTCATAGCCCTGCTGAGACTCTCAGACGCCAATCGAAGCCAGGGTGGTTGAAGCCGGTCGATCGCCCCCGCGGACCTGACTCTGCGCAACGGGTCGAGGGTGTTACCGAGTTCGCCTTCCCAGGACAATCTTGTCAATGAAGTCCAGGCCGATTTGAGGGGCAATGGAACCTTCATGAGCTGTCCGGACGCATCATGCATGGCGGCCAGGAGGGGCGCGAGCTTGGCTTGTTCGCGCACCCAACAATTCATCTGGCATTGGGAAACATCGTGACGCCCATCCTCGCACGGGGCGTCATGAAGCAGGCGCGCGGCCTCCCAGTGCGCCGGCGAGCAGCAGAAGCTCAGATTGCACTTTGAGCAAGGGATCAGGCGTCTAATGTCTGCCGTCGTGTCATTGTCTGCAGCCTCTATACGAATCAGATTGTCCGTGCGCGCGCTGCGGAATAGAGCGTCAGCACCCTCAGAGATGGGGGTTATAAGAGGACGACAGACCAGACCATGCATCGCGGTTCGTAAACGATCAGCATCACCTCCAAAGCATTCGGCGATCTTTGAAGCGTCAGCGTGGTGGAAAGAAAAGGATAAACAGATGGAAATACCTTCCCAGAAAATCGTTGCAGAAGTGAAGATTATAATCGGCGTCATCGTCAGTGATGCTATTTACGACGGTCAAGTCGTTGGTTGGCTCGCTCGGCAGGCGGGAAAGGTAGGTCCGCGGTTTGCTGGCATTGCTCTTCGCGATTGCGCTGAGAGCCTTGCACATACGTTTGTGTGTTGTCCAATCGAGCTTGACAAGACATATCACGACGCAGACACATACAAGAACAGCTTTATGCGGACCTTCTGGCATTCTGCGATTAAGGCCATGAGCATCGACCGCGCACACAAGAGGAATCATCCGACGGACCTGGACTGCAATAGACGACCCGGAGGCACACACTGCATCGAGACAGAGTAACATTTTCATCCTTGAAGCACTTGTAACAGGCAAGACCCATTAGTGCTGGGAAAGACGGAAGTCGTTCCTCCTGCATCGTGGTTTGTAGACAAGGAATTTCAAACTCCGCCTTTGATCTCTGATCCGACATCCTACAGCATCTGTGGGCGTATTTATTTTATTCTTGATGCGCCAAGCTTTGTTTCATCCACGCACTCAAGGGGGGATCAGCATTAAAATTTTGGCTATGGAGAGGGGGGGGGGTCCCCTGGGGGGCTGAAAAAAACTTTTTTTACTATACATTTCTACGGAAGTCCTGGGACACTTAAAACATTATCTGAGGCATTGGGGAGGTGCAGGGGCCATAGAATGAGTGTCAGGAGGCTCCCCGAGGTCCAAAAGTCTCTAGTATGGCAGGCTGGGTGGCACAAAATGAGTTGATAACCTATAGAATGACTACAACATTGTTAAATTGTAGCCGATGCATATTATAGGCCACCTGGAGTGTCCCAGGGGTTGAATGTAGTCCAGAAATGTTTCAACGAGTACGTATGGAAGTACAAGACAAAGCAAGCAAGCAACGAGCGTAGAGTATTATATCTCCCCCCTCTTTCCACCCCTTTCCCAGTCTCTCTCATCGCGGCCGGCTCCGTCACGGCCCTCCTCGGTGAATCTGGGCTTGTCCTCCTCTCGGCGAATCGTCGTGCACTCGCAGCCCCGGCGTCTGGAGAAATACGTCCCGAAACGGCCCTCACCTCCCACATTTACGCATCCGCTTACGGCGCAGCAGCAACCGCCCCCGTATTCTCCTTGCGCGCGACCCCATTCCCAGGCCGCTCAACCTCCTCCAATCCTCCAGCCTCAGCAGCGCGGACGTACCGGACGCGAGAAGGATGGCCGCAGGAGATTGTGCGAACTACGGCAGCGGCAGCGCGGGCGGGAGGACGAGCCCGCGAGTCCAGAAAAGCAGGTGATACGCCGAGCTTCCAGCCCGCGCGAAATTGCGGAGGGACGAAGGACAGAGGGAGGAACGAAGGCCGCCCGCCGCTAGAAATTCAGTTCAGTTCAGGCCGCACCCGCCGCAGCGTGGTTTATACAGCGCAGGCCAAGGTACGCGCTGGAAGAAAAAGACGCGGAAGAGGGAGGTGCAAGTACAGGTGGAGAATGACACGGGGAGAGGAGGGAGGGAGGTGGAGAGAAGGGAGAAGGGAGGAAGAGAAGAGAGTAGGAGAGGCGCGAAGGACGAAGGACGAAGATAGCGCGCGGCGCACGGAGCATCGAATTGCCCGAGCGTCAAAATGGCGGGACGCAACACGTGCGGGCGCCGCCCGACCTACCGCCCAGCGCCGCCGCAAAAAGGGAGGAGCAAAGCGGAAGGATCCTCGGAAAAGAACCTCCGACAAAAACAAAAAGCGAAGGAAGCAGGAACTCCGAGAGAGGGACGCTCGGCAAAACCCCCTGGCTCGCCTTCGTCACATACGCCACGCCCAAATACGCGCTCATAAGGAGGATTTGGACCGGGAGCGCGAGGAGCGGCGTGGGCGGGGCGCTGGTGAGGAGGAGCTCGAGGAGCGCGAAGGCGCTGTTGAGCGCGTGTAGATGCGTACCCCGCCTTGTACGCGGGGGACTAACTTGTGTGCCGCCCTGCCCAAGAAGGTCGTTTTGGGTGGAGAGGGCAAGGCGGCGGCCGGAAAAGGCGCGTGCAGATGTGCCGCTTGATGCGAAGTGAGGGTTACGATATCCGGGTATCCGCGCAATGTCCGTGCCCTGCTTACGGGCTGATTGGCTTTGGCAGGTCCGGGTGGGTCCCAGTGTTGAACATGTCTCAACATTCGACGACCATGTCACTCACGAGCATGGTCATCGTGTCAATTTTATTTTTATCTACGGGTTATTTTAAAATAATTGGCTACACTAGTGGTACTACTATTTTGGACCCCGTAGTTGGCCACCCCCCCTAGTTGGCCATTTGGTAGCTAGCATTCCGAGCCTTGACATTTATAACCTGCCATAATGGGGGATGATAGTAGGTCCCATAATGAATGCCTGCACCGAATTTGGAGTCGGAGTGATGAGTTGATGGAAAGTTACGACATGTCGGATCGGGCTCCAAAACGTGTGAACATCATTTTCTTATTGCCGACACAGCTCGGCTTTCTTCTCGCAGCTCCCTTTCGACCAATTCTTGGCCATTCCGGGACTTTGTAGGCTCATTCTGTTCCCCTGGTCTTAGCGGATCATCTGGCACCATTCATGCTGTGGCAAGGGCAGAAATTCCTTCGCTATCCTCCCCTGAAGGTACAGCTGCTTTTTTTGAGCTGCTCATATTGGCCGACATCGTATAAGACGACACTGTGGGGCTACCCATCTGGAACTTGGCACGAGGGCTTTTGTAATCTAATACT